AATTGCGGAGGTTCCATGAATTAAGAGCCTCCTTGCTCTTCTTTTGCTTTTGGGATTTCAGTGTTACTTTAGATCCAATTCAAAGACGTGTCACCTCAGTTATTTAAAAATAAAACTTTAAAAACAAAGAAGTAGCTGCCAAATTGGAGAGAGAATATACTTTTGAACTGGGTCTATAAGTCTTAGTGAAAGTTGTCTGGGGTTTTGTAAAAGCAAACACACAAAACATCATCCTTGGGTTTATGTTAGGAAGTAAGAATCTAAAACAATGTGTATTTTCTGCACATTTCTTCTTTGTAATCTTGCATTGTCTCCAACGAATGCTAATGGTTACCAAATTGTTCTTTGGCAGAGTGAGCTGATTTGGAGGGGAGGGGAAAGAAAAGAACACAGAAAGGAAGGAAAGTTACAAGATACGATTGTAACACAAGACCAAATTAGAGACTCTCAACCCTGAACAGATATTAACTAATCTAGTGATTTCAACCTGAGATGTTACCAGAAAGCATTTCCCTATATTCTATCATCTACGTTATATGGCAATGAAGTGCCATTCCCTGAATTTTAAATAAAGAGATGTTTCCCTTTATTAATAGAGGGATGTAGGGGGTCACAGAGAATGTCTGAGATTATCTCTGAGCTGCCTCCTTGTCTCTATTTTTGAACCAATGTTGACTGTCACAGCAATAAAGCACCCAGTGTCTAGGAGTACAGCTCTTCCTACACTATAAATAGAGGACTAGTATCTTGGTCTGAGCTAAAATGGGTTGAGTGAAACAAACATGCCTACAGTCTGCTGTCATGATCTAGAATCAGCTTTTCTGATCTTCACTGAGAGTCCCCAGTGACTCACCGCTTAATAAGGACCATACATGCTTGTGAGGATACAGTCTTTAGAAGCAGTGTGAACAGCCCGCATCAAGCCATTCATTCCCGTTTCTTTGTGTGGAGATGTTCTGTTTACTCAACTCCTTCACCATGTGCTAACAATTAGACAGTGGCTCCATAAGTGAGGAGAAAAGTGTGTCATGGATCGGCAAGTGGTTTCTTCGCTGCCTGTTAAAAATATATGGCGATGTTTGTATGTAAATATGAAACAGTAGACTGCTGTCATCGGTTACCAGTGGCCAGTGAATTCTACACAGATAGAAATCAAACATTTCTCTACTAACACCAGAATTCTGGTTTACCAATATCTATACATCCTGTTTAATTTGGCTTAAGACGATGTTTTATTGTTTTAAGCTTATTTCTAGCTGGAAGAAAATTATCAGCAAGAGTTTGTGTGCTTATTTTTTTCTTCCTCTTTCCTTAATCAAATTATTTCATTTGAAGGGACAATGAATTCTGTCCAAGTAGATCTTATATTATGATATGGAAAGCAGGGCTGCTAACCCTAAAATCTATATATTTGTTTAAAAAAAATCTATGTATTTGTTTTAATAGAATTTCAATATAATTTTAAATCTAAAGTGAGGACTTGTGGCTGACATTGGGAAGTGACCATGGAGAGTTTGGGAACACAGGATCAGGGCTGGGGACAGATGTCTGGGGTTTGAACTCTGGCTATGCCATTTACAAACTAAATCGTCTTGTAAAGTTAGCTTACTTTATTAAACCTCAACAGCTTCCTCTTCAAAATGAGAAGTATAGTAACACTTACAGGACAATTGTGACCATTCATGAGATAAGTAGGAACTTTTAAGTAGGACATTTACAGTGTCTGACAAGCAGGAAGCACCCCCATAATTCTACCTGTCATTATTATAAGTAGCTAACAAGATGCTTTGTATTGAGAACATCCTTGAAAACCTGAGAGCTGTAGGTGCCCAGGGCTAAGAACAGATACACGATAATGCTGTTTAACAGCTATTGATTCTGTGCTGGGATCTACATGCAGGGTGTCTACCAGCTCTAGCATCTCAGCGTCATTCTCATCTTCATTTCATGGAGACAGAAACTAAGCTGCTCAGGCTTCACAAAGGCACACATTTAACAACTGGCTTAGTTGTAAGGAGTTGCACTGCCAACCCAAAGTCAGGCAGTTCAAATCTATTAGCTGCTCCACTGGATAAAGACGAGCAATCTCCTGTGTGAGTTACAGCCTCTGAGAACCCTCCAGAGGCTCAGCTGTGAGTTGGTTCCTACTCAACAACATGCAACAACAGACATACTTGCTAAAGTGGCTTTAATATATCACCTACCACGTACATAACCTAGGACACTTGGAACGCTCCTTTATTTAAATTAGTCTCTACATTCCTGGCAGCAAGCATTCTGTGACACTGCTCAGCAGCACTCACGCGCCATGACACCCCGCACACCTGTGGTATCTGCTCATTTACAGCTGAGAAGGGCCAGGAAGCCCTGAATATTTTGTTTTGAATTCAGGTAAGTTAAACTTACATAACCGCTTATACATTGGCCTACAGAGTTCTTTTCTCCAAAGGAGCTCAAAGTTCCGTATGTTGTTGTTGTTATGTGCCGTCGAGTCGCTTGCGACTCATAGCGACCTTATGTACAACAGCCCTAAACCCTGCTCTGTCCTGTGCCAATCGCACTGTCTCTGACACACCCATCCCGATTATCCCAGTCACTGAATCAATCCACCTCATAGAAGGCCTTCCTCTCCTGCGCTGTCCCTCCATCCTCCCAAGCATGATGTTCTTCTCCAAGGACCTCTCCCTCCTTACAGCATGTCCAAAGTATGTCAGACAAAGCCGCAGAATCCTTGCCTCCAAGGAGCTGCCCGGTTTAACCCTTTCAAGGATGAATCTCTTTGTTTTCCTAGTAGTCCATGGTACCCTCAATACTCTTCTCCAGCACCAAAGCTCAAAGGCATCAATTCTCCTTTTATCCTCCTTAGTAATTGTCCAACCCATTATGCAAACTTTTGAAAATCACTTTGTCCCAAGGGCCAAGGTGGCTTGACTTGTGGACAAAGAGAGACCAGTTGCTCCCTTCAGTAGCCACTTGTGTCCCTTGCTGGGTCGGGGAGAGAGCACAGTGGGCACCGGATTGTGTCCACCTTGCCAGGCTTCTCATTAGTGTTGTCTCTGACAGTCCAGCTGCTTACTAGCTCCTCAATTAATTTAAACAGCGCACAGTTAGGAGCACTCAGTCCAGTGTTCTGGTTAGAATCCTGGGATCTTCCCACAATAAGGAAACCCTCACATTCAAGGTGACTCAATTCTGTTTTCATTTGCAAAATATTTGGTGATTTTTCATTTTCTCTTATATATAGGGGAGGGAGAGAATTTGGGGCAGAAGGTAGGGGTGGGTGGCATTGCACTTAGGGAGAGAGGGTCCAGACTTCTAAATTTTGTATCAGCCTGCTGACGCATTAGTGTGTTAAACAAGCCTAAAATGTAAGACATAAATGCAAATATTTTGCATCTCATTAACTCTACTGATGTTAGCATGATGCAGTAGCTTCAACTGGAGGCTGAGGTGGCACCTTTTTATTATAAACACGTTGGCTGTTTCTCTGAAAGTCACTGTGAAGACTGAAATTCCTTAGATGTAAGAGTGGAGACTTGGGCAGATTTCTGCTCTATTAACCTTTTCTTCATTAACAATAAAAAAAAAGGCAGAGCCGCAGTATCCAGTCCTGCAAATGCTGTCAGCATCCTCCTTTAAAACAGCAACTGTTCTTGCCCTGGTAGCAACAGTACACTTCCACAGCAGTTAGTTAGAATTACATTGTAAAACCAAATCTGTTTCAGGGAAAAGGAAAAATAAACCCTTACATAATCCTCAAGTAGTTATGTAACTGGAAAAAATCATTAATAAGTCAAAACAAGTGTTGCTTTCTACTTCAAACTAGTAATCACAGTACAGATTTGAAAAGCATGGGATTTAAGACGCACCGGTACCATTTGCCAGCTGTGTGATTCTGAGTGAATCACTTGACCTCTCTGATCCAGCTGATCCAACATCATCATAAAATTTGTCTGTTTTCCTGCATGGTCAAAGAAGATCAAAGGAGATTGTAAATGTGAACGCTCTCTGAAAGCGCTATACAAATGGCCTTATTGATTTTTACTAGAAAAATAATGAAGAATGGTGGCAGTGCCAGTCCAAGGATATTGCTGTTGTTGTGTGCCACTGAGTCAAGTGCAAGGATAGCAGGAGAATAATTCAGCCATGGGAGTAGTTGGTCATTCCTGAAGAAGTTATGGCTCCCCGAAAACAGATGGCTGGGTGGCAACTGGGCTGTGCAAATTGACAAGAGCTTCTTACATTCTAAGCTCTTGCAGTGACAGTGTTTGGCTACACGTCATCACTGTGTACTTTCTTACCAGACTTTATTTAGAAGGAATGTGCAAACTAGTGGCTTGGCAAAGTTGCCTGGGATTCAAGTGCCGTGGTTGGACACTGGGGAGAGGGCAACGCTTCATGTCTTGTTTGATTACCCCTGTCGCTGGGGAATCAACAGATGGCACAACAACAATGTCAGAAACTGACGACAAACCTGTCAGTTTGAAGCCTTTAAAGCTTCAGCAGAACTCACAATTAAAGTATGATAGAATCACTAGAGGGAAGGAAGACATACAGGGGAGCAGGTCCACAGAGCACACCTTTTATTCCTGTCTGACCATGAATCAGAGTATCAGGTCCTCCACCACAGAGGAGGATTTGTATGCTGGTATGCAGTTGGCATTGAAGAAAAAAAGTGGTTGAAATAATATCACTGTTAGTAGAAATCATTGAGCAACTTTAATACAGAGCATTCTCTCTCCCTTCACTATGGTTTTTGGAGGTTTTTTTAAATCCTTCTAAGTCCTGAGTTTGGCAAATGCCAGGATGACTAACTGCATCTCAGAAGGATTAGGTAATGAGCAGACCAGGCCTCAAGTCAGGCAGAGCAACACGTGTTTTGGTGATAACTTAAGAGAAAGAAAAATATTTGGTTACGGCTATTGCCATTTTTAAAGTTCCCCAAGGACAAAGCAAAGAAGGCAGGCAATGTGAACCTAACACTTTTCTCCTTTGTTTAGGCAAATATTTCTAACTACAGCCTGGTGATGGAGTCAGACTCGGGAACCTTTTTCCCTTCTGGCCTCCAATTCACGGGCAGTGACAAGGCCAGGGCCATCATGGAGGAGATCATGCGCCTGCTGCAGCCTCTCAACATCACACAGGTCTTTCCACATGGGGAAGGCACAGACATCAACTTCTGGATCCAAGCTGGAGTGCCCGGTAAGACCAAGAGATGGAGTGGTACAGGAGCGTTCCAATCAATAACATTATCCACAGTTAAAATTAAAATGTCTATTCTTACATGACACAGTGGACAGTGCTGGGCTAATTAATGCCTGGAGACCTCCAGCTATTGTTTACAAGGTTTAATGGCTTCTAAAATTGGCACAGAGCTGCTTCATATCTGTTTACTGATCTCACTCTCCATTTAAAAGTCTAAGCTCCTCACTCCCAGTCATTCGGATTTAATGATTCTAGCACTTGAGCCTAGGAAGCTGTTTTTTAAAGAAACAAAACCCAAGTCCCCTTGGTGAGGGTGGTAAAGTGGTATCATAACTAAAAATTTTTTTTTCGTAACTAAAATTTGAGAATTATATTCAAACTCAAAACTCATTACCCTCGTGAGTCAGAATGGCCTCCTAGCTGACCTTCCAGTGAGGTTTCAGAGGCTGTAAATCACACAGGAGGCGATTGCCCATCTATTTTCCCCCACAGAGCCTTTGATGGATTTAAGCAGCCAGAGAGACCATGGTTTGTAATCAGGGAGAACGGTATTTCATGTTGTATTTGTTCTGAGTTAGCAGTACGACTCCACCAGGGGTAGAACTATATTTTTATTGTTATTTACTGACAAGTTGGAATCAACCCATAGCTGACCCTCCAGTGGTTTTTCGGATGCAGTCAATCACACAGGTGGAGATTGTCCATCTTTTTCTCCTGGAGCAGCTGGTGGATTTGAGCAGCATGTCTTTGGGATTAAAACACAGTTTCTTTGCCACTAGGCTACTGGAGCTTCCTATAAATACATTAGTGAGCAATTATTACCACTAATATCCTCCTAATTAGTCTTTTGCTAGGAACTCATCTCTAACCCAAACAATTCCCTACCCAAATGTCATGGAATCTATAATGTTACCATTACAAATGTGTTCTTTAAAGGTGACATACTTTCTGTTGATAATTTCCTACAATCCTTTCTGCAAAAGCTTCTAGAAGAATTTGGAAATAAGTGAACTTTTCAATCTTTATTGATATCCTAGGCCTAAGAATCAGAACAGGATTGAAATTATGGAATCTGAGGTACATCTGAGGTAGTGATCAGGACCAAAATGCAAACAATCTTAACACAAACTTGACAAATTTTCCAGCCTGGCCATACAAAAGGGTTATTGATGATATATGAGTCTGTGACAAAAAGTTGTTCTCTTTACATCATTATTGTTATTGTTTTTATGTGCCGTCGAGTCGCCTGCGACTCATAGTGACCCTATGTACAGCAGCTCTGAAGCCTGCCCTATCCTGAGCCAGTCTCGCTGACTCCAACGCACCTACCTCTATTACCCCAGTTACTGTATCAAGCCATCTCTTCCAGGGTCTTTCTCTCGTGCCCTGTCCCTCCACCCTTCTGAGCATGAAGTCCTTCTCCAAGGATTGGTCTCTCCTGGCCTTGTGGCCAAAGTATATGAGACAGAGCTTCGAAACAGACCTGTGTGTTCTCTTGGAAGTCCATAATATGTTCAAGACTCTTTTCCAGCACCACAAATCAAAATCATTGATTCTTGTTCTGTCATCCTTAGTCAGTGTCCAGCTCTCTGATACATAGCAAGTAATTGCAAAAACCATGGCCTAGATTAGGCATTATACCCATAATTAAAAAAAAACAAACAAAAAACCATCTTCAAGTTTTTCTGTACTTGTATTACAAAGACAACTTTTGGATAATTTTAATATCAGTTTCCAGAAACATTTTTGTAGTTGTTATTGTTGTATACCATAGAGTCAGAACCTCTGGTGGGTTTTCAGAAGCAGTTAATCATCAAGGAGGAGATTACCCATCCTTCTCCCCGAGAGAAGCTTGTGGATTTGAACTGCATGCCTTAGAGATTGCAGCACAACTTCTTACCCCTAGGCCACCAGAGCTCCCTTTTACATGGCTACCTAATATTTAATAGATTTTTTTTAACCTGTCTTTCTAGACCCACTCCCTCAAACTCCCCACCCCCAGCATGTAAATTTGACTAACAACATATTCCATGGATTTTAGAGCTTTAAGTTTATTCTTGATGAATTATAGATGTTTAAAGTAAATTTTAGGCTGTACGTTTGTAATAATATTTCGTAACTAAAAGCAAAAAGAGCTTTCCCTCAATCTGATACAAGGACCAGATTCTTCATTTAGTCTGTGTACATTTTAACCATTTTTTACAAGTTATCTCAAAGTAACATTTACTGCACTCTGCTTCATCTGAACAAATCCATGTCTCTCAATAACAACTATCAATTAAGAACTATCATTGAGGTTTGTGGGGCAAGGGGTTTGTTTGTCCTTAAGGTGTACAGTAGTTTGGGGTTTTAGATCCTTCCTGAGCCTTAAAGAGATTAATTAAGCCAAACCAATTGCCTTGAGTCTATTCATGCCATTTCCATAAGTGTCAGAATAAACTGTGCCCCATAGAGTTTTCCATGGCTGCGTCTTCAGAAGTAGGTCGCCATGTTTTTCTTTTTGGTCTCTTTGAGGTGGACTCAAGCTTTCAGTTAGCAGCTAAACCCATCAATCATTCACATTACCCAGGGAATCCTGAGTGGAGATTGGGATAGTTAAAAGGATGAGAGGAGCAAAGCTGGGTCAGATTGGATGAAATATGTTTACGGCATTGAAGTCTATGGGGGAGAGAATAGTCTAAAAGTATTATATTTTAGGGCATTATTTTTATCGTAGGAGTACGCAATGAGGGTTGCAGAGTGGATTATATTTTGGGGTAGGGGGGGGGTTTGGGGAGGTGCGGGGGGATTGTGTACCAATGAGGGAGTTTTTCTTTTGCTTTTCAAGGAGAGGAGCAAACGGGGGGAGGGGGGAGAGGGGTTTGTGTGGGGAGAAGGGTGCAACAATGAATGAATGGAATTCCAAAATCTCTATAGATGTTCATTGAAATGAAAAATAAATAAACTAAATTAATTAAAAAAAAGGATGCGAGGAAAGAGCCAAAGATAGAACTAGAACAACAAAGCTTGTACCCCTTTTTCATAGTTGACTCTAACCAATGTTCTAAAGGAGCTCTGAGAGTGTGTTTCAGTGCTAGGCAAAAGGCCACAGGCCTTCCGTGGTTCACCTTCTCCAGGGGATCCTGAGGAGTTGGGCAAACAACTCCCATTCAGATTTACATTACAGCCTTGGAAACCCAATAGAAAGGAGCTATGAGTCAGGATGCACTTGATGGACGCGAGTGAGTGTTACCTACGAATGGTTCTGTTGGAAATTAACGTGTTGATTTGATTGTCTTCACCCTAGGTCAGGAGATCTTTTTCTACTTTGCCACAGGGAGTTCAGATTTGATTTACTTAATGAAATGGGAAATCTAAACTCCATTATGATTGCTTAAGAATCTCCAATTTGTTTGGAGCTCCTGCTTGCAAACAGTAGTCAGGTCTTCTACACACTCTCACGTTTAATACAACCGTAGTATGGAGTATTAGGATCAGAAAGTTCAAATGACTTGCCCAAGGCTAGATTGCTCCCAAGTATGGAAGTCATCTTGAAAACCGGCCACTTTAGTTTTAACGTTTGTGGTCTTTTCCTCACAAAATGCAATACCATAGTGCTGTCTGGAATGCTGAGAAGCTCCTCAGAATCTATGGCAGACTCCACAATGTTTATGTTAATCGGCTCTTCCTTGTGTAAAACATTTCAGTTGATTCCTGTTCAAGAGTAATTTATCCCTGGGAGAAAGGAGTTTGTTATTGTAAATAACTACTTATTCCTTCTCACATTCCTTATTCTACCCCCCCCCCTCCTCTGGAGATCAGGAAAGTTTATATAAAGCTGATGGTTCATTTAGATGGCAGCAGATGTTTCCCAGAATTCTTTTTTATTTTCTTCAGAGTATTATAAGATGAAACAAAATTATTGCAGTCTTCTCTTATTGCTTTTGAGCTAACTCCTGCTATTTCAGATTTGGGTTGTTTCTGAAAGAAGTAATGGAAAAGCTTATAACTCTTGTTAGTTATTAAAAATTCAAAACTTTAAAAACATGATAAACCCATAGGTAACCTGAGACTCTTCAGATATCTTTATATTACATACATTTCCCATTGCTATCTTTTATCAGACTCCTATACTTTCTCTCCAAATCCTAAATGTGCTTTAAAGCTACTCTATATTTATTGGTCTTCAAGAATCCCTCAATAATAGTCCATGATGCTATATTGCTTTTCTAAATTTCTGAATCACTTCCGATATGTGTCCGCACCATACTCTTATATTATTCTTGATCATTAGAGGTTTATGTACATTCTATTAGCCATTGATCAGTTCTTTGAGATTAAGGCCAATGGTTTCTGCTTCTTTTCTTCTTCCTTAACTCTTAGTTGAATTTTGGGAAACATTAGAATTCTTCTAAAATGACTTTAACGAAGAAACAAAAATAATGAAACATTTATTTTCTTGCAACATTTCTGGCTTTTCCCCCCCTTACTTGCAGAGGAAATGAAAGGACTATGAGAAAAAGAACAATAAAAGTACAGAAAATATTCAAAGAAAGATGCAGATTAGGAAGACAAGGACAATTAGCTGTATTTCTATTAAAGGAAAAAATAATGAAAGGAAATAGTAAAGAATGTCTTCTAATGCTTTAATGATTTTATCCATAAAGTGAGATTTGACATTTTGAAAGATAATACAAGAATAAGATTTGAGATTATATAAAGGGATTGAGGTTTGTCACTATTCATTTCATATAGTCTGGAGAGGATTTAAATTTTAAATGTTTGCCTTTGTCTCAGCTTATGAGTTCCAGGTTAGAATTTGAGAAAGCTGCTTAATAATAAATATGTCCACAATGAGGTATAACCCAGGATATTAGATTCCAAAATGACTCTGAAAATTCCAAAATGAATCTTTTTGAAATCTCTCTTAAGAACTCTTCTGTAAAATATAACTAATGGAAACAAATAATGTATCCTCTGTTATGAATTGAATTATGTTCCTTAAAAAGTTAAGATTC